GCAGACTACTTTAGGCCCGGAAGTAGGATTCGTCACGTCATCACTTAACGACCGGATTGTTAGTGAGCAGAAGGATTTCGCTCTTTTGTTTGATGGAAGATTTTCTGACTGAGTGCTGGATCCTGTCAGACTAAAGGCCTCTGAAACCAGAGAGACTTTTGTTGTTTTGTATAAACGTCTTTTTTTAAATATTGAAGTAGAAACAACTCCTAATGTTAGCCGGGTCGCTCCTCTGCAGGGCGACATGTGCTCTCTGGTTTTGAACTCCTCTCTGCTGACGGCTGATGTCAATGAAGCAAACAAACAAGGGGTTTGCGACCGTCACTCAGTGTGTGCTTTAACTTTAACGTGGCGCGCTGTCATTCAGTAACCCCAGCGTTTAGTTCTCCTCCTGTGGGTTAAACGTCTGAGGTGTCCTTGAATGCCTCGTTACAGGCGTTGTGCACACACTGCCTGATGATCCGTGAAGCTCTTGCTGCTGAAGACGTTTCAGCTCGTGATGCTCAGAAGAACAAATATCCAAACGCTCTGAGTGTTCAGATACATGAACTCTGATAAAGGGACACACCACTGCTTTTTATAATCAGGTTTTATTGTTTGTATTTATTGATTGTTTTACTATGAATACACTTTTTTGATTGTTTTTGTGTTCTCTGAACATTTCAATAAAGAACTGTGACCAAAGGATCGCTTTTTTTTTTTTTCCTTCACCATGATGTTAATTTATCATCCAGACTCAGGGTTGTGAGTTGGTCCTCATGTTGGATCAGAGCTTCAGATTGTGTAAATATACAAGGAAACGATGCCATTCATGCTTGATGGGCGTGTTTGAGTCCAGCGACCTGCCGTGACATTGTCTCACCAACCACTGGTCATGTTTTGGAGAGTAGATGTGAAGACTGAGACTACTCTCATGTCTGCAGTCTCCCGTTAATAAATGAGCGTCATGTTGGATTAAAGTGAAACTACAGATCGAGGCCATGAACTCATCATCAAAGCGTTTAACGAGTAAAACATGGCTCAGCTGTACAGAAGTAGATTTAGCATTTGATTAAGTTAGTTTCTGTAACTGTGTCACTTTGGAGAAGCACATGTGGATCCTCTGAAGCTGCAGTCCAGTTTGGAGTCCTGCGTCACTCCTGAGACCACCGTGGACCACCCGAAGCTTCAGTGCCATCGCTGAACATCACATGAGCAGGGAACGGGAACGGATTTCATTTGTTTTCCTGTGATGTGTCATTAATAACTGTTAAAAAAAAATTAAAAATTGCATTTCAGGTCATTTTTTTTAACTAAACTGCAAAAGTTGTTTAACTCAAACCTTTTCCCTACGAAGGCCTGGTTCTCTGAGCAGCAGCACAGAGTCACCAACACTCACGAGAGATATTCGTGAGTGTTGGATCCCTTTCCATGCCTGTAAATTAAACAGGCCCAGCTTTACAGGGTGCACCGTGTTTCAGTGCATGAAGCTAAATCCAGGAGTCACTGCTAAATGTTACACTGTGTAACTATAACCAGAGAAAACAGCTGAGAGCCTGAGGCTGTTTTTACTTCTTTGAGTGTGATGTGGGGAAAATGTCTTAGACAGTTTGTGGTTAGTGTTGTGCTTTTAAGCTGAAACCATCTACAGCTGCTCTGTAAACTGTTGCAATGGATTCGAAATGAGACGTTGAGTCATTATGAGCACAGAGGGAAGGTAAAGCCTGCTGAGGAAATCTGGGAGGAACCGGAAGAAAGTCAAGAGTTGAGGACAGCAGCACACACACTGGTAAAACATTGCCCTCTAGTGGTGACAGTTATGCAGTGGGTTATAAAAGCATCTTAAGTTCAGCCTCTAAACTCATTTATTTAAAATCATAATATCAGTTCACATGAAGACAAAGTGCCCCTGTGTGTTTTATACTCATCCTTTAATCGCATGATCGATGCTGAATCCATCACCTGGTGTGTAAACAGGCCTCCTCCACATGATGCTGCTCCTGTGGGAAAAAACTCAGCGAGGGCGCGGCGGCTGTTTTGTCTGTAACCTCCGTGGACCACACAGGAAGCCACCTGCAGTCAGAGCGCTGCTCGCTCGTCCTCGCTGAAGCTGCACAGGAATTTAAATTGCAAAGCAGAAGCTCAGATGGTTTATGATGCTGATAGATCAACGTGTGCATGTTTACTGACAAGAATTAATTTATTATTTAGCAGGATTTCTAAAAATGTATTTATATTTATTTATTTTTTTGATTTCATCAATTTTCTTTTTCCAAATAATCACTTTAAAGTGTTTCAAAGGGAAAGTGTCATAGAATTTCTGAGAGTCTATATAATATTATAAATGATAAAATGATAAAACAAATAAATTATTGCAAAAAAAAAAAAAAGGATTAACAGTTATTACGGGGAAAAAATGCAAAGAGACAAAATTTAAAAAGCAATAAAATTTAGTTGAACCAGAGAATTTTTTTTTTTTTTAAAAGAAACATTTAAACAATGCATCAAAAAGATTAAATGATCAAAGTTTGTGTAAAAAAAAACCCCTCAAAGTTCTTTTTTTTAACCTGTAAAATAACTTTTAGAGTGAAGCTGTTTTAATTGTGCAGGCCTGTGTTAACCTGCTTAACCAGTGTTTTAACTCTTTGTTAAAGTGGGGCTTAATTCTCTCAAGCGTGAAATACATTTATGTGCATCAGCAATGCATACAGCTCTGTTAAAAAAGGTAACGGCACTGAGGCAGGGAAAAGCCTGAAATCCCATTAAATAATAATAATGATGAATATCTCTGCTGGTTCCTGCTGGGAGATCCACGTGCAACAGGACCAGGACAGCAGAGCGTCCAGAACATTTAGAAGTCATAAAGTCCTGGCTTCTTTCTGTATTTATTTATTTATTAAATATTATCATGTTAATGTGTCTCAGGGTAGGATTGTGAGGATTTTTTTTTTTTTTGCCTTTTTTTTGCCTTTTTTCCATCCATTCCAACCACGTCCACTTGGTGTCACTGTGGTACAAACTACGAGCCTTAGGCAGGCTGCTGGGAAGAACACAGCAGTGTTTGAGCATTCAAATGAGTTTTAATCACTAAGCATTTCTGAAATTTCTCTCTCATTCTTACACGCACACACACACACACACACACCTGAGCTGCAGCACTGTTAGAAACACACACTTTAGATTAGTGAGAGCTTGTTTTATCTCCTGCTGCTGCTGCTCGCGGCTAATTAGTATTCAGAAATTGAATAAAGGGAAAATGTGTTTTACCTGGATTCACCTCATCACTGAACGCTGACCTGAATATTCAGCTGCCTCCCCGAGAAGCTTTTTGTCTGCTCCACAGTAAATGTTGGAAATGTTTTGTGGCTCTGAATTCATCACATCTGCATGAAGAGTTGGCGGGAACTGTTCATCACTGATGATCACGACACAAACTATTAAAGCACATCAGAGAGCTGCTGCGGGCCTGACGTGCTCCTTCATCGCCACAACCACAACCACAACCACCACAGACTTTCGAACTGCCTCAAAGAGATTCTGGCAAAACGTCAGGCGACTTAGGAAAGCAGTGTTCTACCTGCACTGTGTGTAGTGCGGGTGGAGTGCTGCTGACTTCGACTGAGAAAATCATCAGGCGGTGGAAGGAATATTTCGAGGACCCCCTCAATCCCACTGGCACATCTTCCGTGGCGGAAGCAGAGTCTGGGGACGAAGGGGATGACCCGTTAATCTCTGGGGACAAGGTCACTGAGGCAGTTAAACAACTCCTTGGTGGCAGAGCCCCTGGGGTGGACGAGGTCCGCCCCGAGTTCCTGAAGGCTCTGGATGTTGTAGGGTTGTCCCGGTTGATACGTCTCTGGAATGTTGTGTGGAGATCAGGGGCAGACCGGGGTGGTGGTCCCCATCTTTAAGAAAGGGGATCGGAGGGTGTGTTCCAACTACAGGGGAATCACACTCAGCCTCCCTGGGAAAGTCT